AGAGGGATCATGGATCATCCCCCTGTGCTGGGCACTGAGGAGGCACCCGAAATCCTGGGATTTTGGGGTTCCCAGGTCCAGGATCTTGAGGGATTGGAGCGTGTCCAGGGAAAGGAATGGAGCTGGGAAAGGGTCTGGAGCAGCAGGAGCAGCTGAGGGAGCTGGGGGGGGTCATCCTGGAGAAAAGGGGGATCAGGGGGGACCTTCCTGCTCCTTACAATTCCCTGACAGGAGGGGGGAGCCGGGTGGGATTTGGGATCACTCCCAGGGAACAAGGAACGGGACGAGAGGAAACGGCCTCAAGCCGAGCCAGAGGAGGTTTAGTGGGATTTTTCCACTGGGAGAAATTCCTTCCTGGAAAGGGTGATCAGGCACTGGCAGAGGCTGCCCTGGAGGGATTGAACATGCCTGTGGATGTGACACTTGGGGACATGGATCAGGGGTGGCCTTGGAATGCTGTGGGGATGATTGGACTTGATCTCAGAGCTCTTTTCCAACCGAAATGATTCCACAATTCCCCGATTCCACAATTCCATCCCTCACATCCGTTTGCCAGAAGGGCAACATGTGAGTTTGGCTCTCAAATCCCTCCTTCTCCAGCTGTTCTTTGCCAGAAATTCCTCCTATTTCCCAATTTACTTGGAATTTTCCCCTCAGAGCTTCTCCCCCTTGTCCGGAGGAGCCGCATGATGGGATTCCGGTGTCTCCTCTTTTCCCTGGAGCTCTGGAGAAGGACACCGGGTGTGGGAATGATTGGATTTGATCTCAGCGCTCTTTTCCAACCAAAATGATTCCACAATTCCCCGATTCCACGATTCCATCCCTCACATCCATTGGCCCAAAGGCAACATGTGGGTTTGGCTCTCAAATCCCTCCTTCTCCGGCTGTTCTTGGCCAGAAATTCCTCCTATTTCCCAATTTACTTGGAATTTTCCCCTCAGAGCTTCTCCCCCTTGTCCGGAGGAACCTCGTGATGGGATTCCGGTGTCTCCTCTTTGCTCTGGAGAAGGACACCGGGTGTGGGAATGATTGGACTTGATCTCAGAGCTCTTTTCCAACTGAAATGATTCCACAATTCCCCGATTCCCCGATTCCATCCCTCACATCCGTTGGCCCGAAGGGCAACATGTGAGTTTGGCTCTCAAATCCCTCCTTTTCCAGCTGTTCTTTGCCAGAAATTCCTCCCATTTCCCAATTTACTTGGAATTTTCCCCTCAGAGCTTCTCCTCCCTCATCTGGAGGAACCGCATGACGGGATTCCGGTGTCTCCTCTTTTCCCTGGAGCTCTGGAGAAGGACACCGGGTGTGGGAATGATTGGA